AGCAGAGCATATTAATACTCCAGTCTAATTAGACAGCCATTCAGACAGAGGAAGGCAGTGCCCTCGAAGCCTTCACATTCTCCAAGGTAAACATGCCCAGGTCCCTTCCACATCTCCCCCCAGCCACTGGTCAGGTTGTTCTGTTACGGCCTCACAGCTGAACATGGTACTCCAGTACTGCAAGGCAGTGGTCACGGTCAGGAGGGGGCAGCTGTCTGGGGAGGTAAAAGCCACACAACTTGGCAACTCAGAGCATGTGGAAGGAGAGAGGGTAGTAGCAGCAGGGCCCAGAGGCCAGGCATCCTGAGGGCTAAAGGCAGCAAGCAGACCACTGCCAGCACCCTGACAAACCTCTGCTCAGATCCCAGCACAAGAAGACAGAGTCCACTTCCCCACCTACCCAGCTATCCCCTGCAGCCATCATGAAGAGGGTATTAGTAACCCCCCCTGTGGAAAAAAGGGGGGCTCAGTCACCAGCAACGCCAGCTGCTGACCCCCTGAAACCAGTGAGCAGGGGAGGCCAAAGGCCTCAGGCATGGCACGCTCACTCACCACCACAGAAGCATCCTGTGAAAAAGCAAGCCACCCAGCCCGAAAAACTAATGACCAGCTGCCCCAGCCTCCAGGACAGGCCGGCCTAGCTACCTGAAAGCAGACCCCTGAAGGCTCAAGAAAGGAGGCTGCAAGTTCCAGGTCAGTACACACACAGACACACACACACACACTCTCACTCTCACTCTCTCTCTCTCTCTCAGCCACCACCTCCCCTCAGACCAGGTATTCAAAAAGCCATAGGAATGGCTGAGAATATGGCCCCTCCCCCAACCCAGCCATCAATCATCCAAGGAAAGAATTCCTGTGGAGACTGGACCTGGCACTGCTGGTGCAGATGCTTCTAAGAACAGGTAAGATTTTATCAGTACAAAGGACTGATCTGCTTTGCACTCTCCGTACCTCCTGAGGCCCCTGGGTACATTCCATGTGACTCACACCTGAAATCTCCTAATAATACGGGCTGAGATTGCGGGCTAAGCCTAAATCTGGCCTGGTCCAGCAGGTTCAAGGTTCGTTTACCAGTTTGTGTGTTGGCCACAATGCTATCAGGCACTCCTCATGAAGCAAAAAATCTAGTAAAAAGTCAAGTTAACAAAGATTAAATATGGCCACTTTAATAACTGAGGTTTAAAGCCCCAAAACACAGAATACAAAATGTTAAACCGGCAAAGAATTAGAACCTGAGGGGTTCCTACCAACTGGGGACCAACTGACCACCAGATTAAGGAATTACTATTGCACTGCAGGAAACGATGCAGGGAAGTGGTTTCTGAGAAACCTAGGAAGACTTGCATGACCTGATGCAGAGTGAAGTGAGCAGAACCAAGTACAGGAGGCAAGGAGGAAAGGTGATTTTCACTGATTAAAAAATTAAGTTTAATCCTGCCCTACAGGAAAATAGAAGGGGAAAAGAGAAGGGCGGCAGATTAGAAGAAGGGGTATTCAGAATGCATGCCATCTTGGGGTGGGAGGAGGGATGAGATGGGGAGAAAATTTGGAACTCAAAATCTTGTGGAAGTGAATGTTAAAAATTCAAAATAAGTAAATTTTTTGAAAAAATAAAGTTTAATTTTTTAAAAATTTGTTAAAGTTCCTAAACTCTCTTTCTGCACTCAGGAATGCAGGAAGCTCCCTGCAGGCAGAGATTTGCATAGACTTTCTCAGCACCCAGGCATTGCAAGCCTTTTCTAATTCAAAGGACTGTCAGAAGAGCCTCCAAAGTCAGTCCAACTGAAAGAGCAAGTGCCTTGGCAGCTTTTTTAATTTCAGTATTGCCATGCTTAAAGACATAAGTGTGTGCTTTCCACATAGTAAATAAATCTATGTGGTATTTCTCTTTTCAGAGGAATAGTAGGGGCAGCTCAGTGGGTGGCAAAGTGAGAGCTTGGGACCCCAGCTGGAGTCAAGGAAGAGCTTTCAAAGGCCTCCTAAACACTCACTACTTTGTGTGAGTTGGCAAGAAACTTGGCCTGTCTGCCTCAGTTTCCTCATCTATAAAAGGGAGATAATATTAGTAGCACACCTGCCTTCTCTCCCAAGACTGTTTGTGAGGATCAAGCAGATTTTTATAAGTGCTTTGCAAATCTTTTATAAAGCATTATTTATTGTAATTATCAAGGGACGCTGATATTTAAGAGAAGTAAAACTGGAGAGGAAAGATGAATTTAGTCAGAGGAGGAAAACAGTGCTTCTACAATTCTCTAAGACTGATCTCTGAAATTACAAGATTGGTGGAGAGCTGCTGCTGTACTTAAGAAATTCCTGAAGTGCGTTCACCTTATAAGGGTGTGAGGATCAAGTGAAATCCGATAAGTAAAGAAATCACTTTATAAAACTCATCTTGTTTAAATGCCAGCTGTAATTACTATTATGACCAAATTTTTCTCTAAAATTACTGAATATTCAGCTCTTCCCACAGCCCTGACTCTCCTCTCACTTCTCTTCCCCATCTAGTGGCAAAAGAGGGGAGGCGGCACAGGACTTCAGACATTCATCCAGCAGCAGCTTGCAAAGGAACCCGGGGATTTCATCAGCCTGCAAGTAGACTCTGCAGCCACTAGGTGAGCTAGTAAGGCCAGGAAAAAACTGGCAAAGTGGGGGGAGGATGGGGTGGCCAGCTCTCTTCCTTTTCCCCAAGAAGCTTTATCAAATGAAGAGACTTGTTTCTGACTTAACATAAACTGGTTTTTTTAGAGGTGATAAGACCCCTCACCCCCAGTGTACCCCATCTTCCTTCCCACCTTCCCTTCCAAGGTGCATTATTCTCCATTATTCTTGTCTACATCTCATGTCATCCCTTACAGGGATTCTCTAGCCAGGGCTACCGGGATTAGGAACAGGGGCAGCACCCGCACAAGTTCAAACCCCAAGGGATCCTGGGGGGCCCAAGGTACACATGGCATTAAGCATCATTGACTGACTGCCTATAATATCACTCCTTCACCCAAAGCCAGACCTCTCCTTTTTGTATTACTTGGCATATATAAACTTAATGCTAGTTGTTTTCCCCAGGATATTAGCATCAGCACCCAGGAGCGGGGCTGGTAGTGTTTTTGTCCATCCCTATTACAGCCAAGTACAGAGAAGGGAATCACAGGAAATACTTAATAGTCAGTGATCGATACAAACGCTGAACTTTGAAGTCAGGACTTCTAGAGTCTGGTGCTCCAGAGACCACAACACTGAGATTTATCTGGGCCCTTCCTCTTCTGTAAAAGTGGAATAAATAATGCCTGGATGGATATAACCACCAGGACTTGTCACCAAATCACCCATTTTGAGAGCCAGAGGGGGAATAATCCTCCCTCAATTCCCAGAGCTTTCCCTCTTTTACAGATAAGGGGAACTAAGCCCAGGGGGATTATCCAAGCTGGTCACAACCAGGTAGGCACAGTGATAACACCTGGTGATATAGATAAGACTGAAAAAATGAAGCCACCAAGGTCACCTAAGTTACTTACTTTGTTGTTTAGTCATTTCAGTCCCATCCAACTTCTTGGTGACCCCCATTTGGGGGTTTTCTTGGCAAAAATACTTGGAGTGGTTTGCGCCGTGCCTTCTCCAGCTCATTTTTAGCGATGAGGAGACTGAGTACAAATATGGGTTAAAGGGACTTGCCCAGGGTCACACAGCTAGTAAATGTCTGAGACCGAATTTAAACTCAGGTCTTCCTGACTCCAGGTCCAATACTCTTATCCACTGCATTCGACAAGAGCCAAAATTCGAACCCAGGACCTGACACCAAACCCTGCCCCACACACCATTCAAGCACAAAGGAAACAGAATGTCAAGTGCTTTTTAAAGCATCAAAAGTTAATTATCCTCGTCACCCATAACTCTGATCTCCCTAGTCCCTCTGGGTGACTTTGGACAAGTCACATCACCTCCCTTTTCTTCCCTTTGTAAAATGAGAGTAGGACTAAAGATTGGCCTCCCTCTGAGCTCCCGGAGTTCTTTGAAGTGCCAGCTAAAATGCCACCCCCTTCTACTGGAAATCCGGAGCCTTCTCTGTAATGATTTCCAACCTGCCCTGTCTCTAGCTTGCTTTGCCTCTAAATTTGCTTGTTCCTCGTCTCCCCATTAGATAGCGAGCTCCCTGGAGGCCACAAGCGTCTCTGCCTCTGGTCTCCGGGTCCCATGTCGGCTCTAAACCTAAGATCTAGCCCGTAAGTCCACCCACCTTTATTAAATACAAAGTAACCAATGCTGCCCGGCACGCCGTTCGCTAAC